GGGGGGGTTGATTTTTTAAGTGATGGTCTTTGGTATGCCGTCTACCGTGAATTTTTCCGCGCAAGATATGTATGCCAGCTGCGCTGCGTTTCTATTGCCAGCTTGCTAAAACTGTGGTGCCAAAAGTCATCGATGGTAAAATAATACGGCAATATCTTAACAAATCAAATGGATCAGATGTACCATAATGTTCCATACAAATTCTAAACATTTACATATTTATGGGATTTGTGAGACTGTAGCGTGGTATTTTTTGGAGCCAAATGTCAGACGGTTTGCGGTTAGCCAGTCGAAAGATGTATTTACGTATGTTTGTCTAGGTATGTGAGGGGTGTAGATAGTTTTTCATGCATTTTGTTAATACTCTACAAGGAGATGTTAACGTTCTGAGTGGGATGCCAATCTGAGTAAAGAAGGGAAATGCTTCCCGCACCTCACTTGGATTGAGTGATTGAGCGTCTAAATATTATGAATCACGGTGGATTTATTTTCGACATAACTACAAAACCACTAAATTTGTAGCAATTGTGTCGTACGAAGCCAGCTTTAATGTCGGGATTTTGTGTTACTCGCAGTTCAAGGCCATGGGTGAGTTGAAGTGGATAACACTGATCTCACGTCCATTATCATGTTCTTTAACCCATATCTTTTGTTAGGAAGAGGTTTGTAACGCAAAATATGCACTCTGGGACCTAGCACTGTAAAGGTGACATCAGAATAAAGAGCCTCATTTGTTTATATTTGAGCATCAACACAAAATTCCATGGCTGTAAACAGGACCAGAAGTAAAGTGACTGGCTTACGATTTACAAGTCTCATTTTTCTGGTAGCATTAGAACTTGTTTGGCTCCTTATTATTTCTAAATCCAGTGTATAAGTTCAGTTAGTTTACTGGAAATAGCCTTTTGAAGTCATCTTTTGACGCAAAGATTGTTCCGGAGTTTATGTAGCAAATGGAAACAGCAGCGCTTGTCCGGAGGGCTTCATGTGTAAGTTAGACAATACTTGCAAAAAAGTGCTACAAAAGGTGGGTTACCGGAGAAAGTGCGCGTAAGACAATTGCTTGTTTACAGTGCGAGGTCATCGTGTCTTACATTTCTCACGTGGTTGTATTGTGGCTTGTGGGCCGCTTCAAGTTTGAACATTAGTGAAGCATACCAGTTCTTCCTGTAATTTTGGACTGAAGAGTTGCTAAAGTTCTAAGCCTTATGCAACCCTGCGTAAGACCACAGGAAAAGTTTCTTTCTAGTAGCACAGGTCTTCGTTTTGTGTCGCAAAACACATCTTATTTCTTCTTTATATTCAGCTGTGATGATGGTGGGCTATTAAGTGCCTTGGTTTAAGAAGCCGAGTCTGTAAGCATCGTGATTTCAGAGACAGAGGCGGCCAAAGAATGATTTGGCAGCAAAATACATGAGCCATTAACAGCAAACTTGGCTGCTCTGGCCATTGCCATCTTCCTGGATCAGAACTTTGAGACGGGCCACATCAATGGTTGGAAACATTATTAGACACCGCCCAGTCGTACCCTCGATGACGCTCGTACGTACACGCTATCGTCTTTAGTGCATGGCATTCTTTCACTTAACAGCCCACTTACATACTGTATTTAAGCACGCTTCTGACGCGCAGTTACGTACCCCATTTTCCAAAATCATCGGTGAACGGAACTGTGACAGCTACAACCACTGCAGAACAAGTACGTCGTTCTTACAGCTGGTGTTAAAGATGATGATGACGATGATCTCAATATTATGTCGCCCGCTAAATACTGTTATAAAATAGGACAAGATACATAAGGTTAGGCAAGCTTTGCTCAAATACAATGCCAACAGAAATGCTGTCCCTGAAGAACGAATTGTTGAAGTTCACACAATGAGAACATGGAGGTGACCAAAAATGGTTGCACTGCAACGAGCATTGAGTGCTGTGTTGCATAAAGCGTAGAAATTAATAGAAATACGGTAAGTAATTGCCACAAGAAAATATAGCTTACTGTACAGCAAAAGTTTGTGGGGCAGAACCTTTTCAAACAGAAGGAGTAAAAGATCATTGAGATTGCGGGAGGAATCATGGTTGTGCTATAAATTTGCGCTGCGGGTCTTGCTTAGACGATGAGAGGATTGAAAGAAATACTGTGGCTTTAGGGGACTCCAATACGGGCCGTTATTGCTTTATAACCATGATACTTTATAGAGTTTGTTTTCAACAGTAGATAAGTTGTACAGTTGGGCGAGATGACACAGTGGTTAGGGCACAGGTTTACTAACCGTGGTTCAAGCTAAGTCTCTGCCTCTTGACTTTGTTTGTCTCTGCTTAGACAAACTGGCAGTATCCCATATATCGTGCTTAATTTAAATGGCATGGCAGTTAGGCATTGAACGACTTTCTTTTCTTTAGTTTGACACATTTTCTGCAATTCTCGTATCCCATATATCGTGCTTAATTTAAATGGCATGGCAGTTAGGCATTGAACGACTTTCTTTTCTTTAGTTTGACACATTTTCTGCAATTCTCTGAAGCGTTTGTGTCGCAGCAAATGAGGAGTCTAAAGATAAGAACTTGAATTTGAAGAATGAAGAAAAGCGGCCGAAACAAGACCGGTCGCGAAAAATAGTTAGCTCCTCTGTATTCGGTTCGACTCAAATGGCTAGATGAACCAGCATTGACCTGCGTGAATGTGTCTGTCAATCGTCACCTTGTCTAAGGAGGTTTGTTGCTCGAATGAGATGGAGCTCAAAAGGTTCAGACTGGCGGTTGTTTTGCCAGACATTGAAAACTTTAGTGGCAATTCGACAAGAAATTACTGTGGTGTTGAGGATTCGTAGTCCAATTTCCTCATGGCTGACGAACGTTTGCAAGAGTACCATCCCGGCAGTGAAGACACGATTCACTCGAATCGTTCCTGGGCCTGTTTCAGTTCATTGGGTTCTTGTAGATATTTTGCTGTGTTGTTGAGGCTTCAGCTTCAGATATTCGTGGATAGATAAAACTTTACTATATTGCCTGCCGTGGGTCCGTCTTGCCACAAATGTTTCTTTCAGTTCAAACGTTGTTTGCTGACTTACTTCAAGCAATCTTCCATGAAGCATGCAAGCCACGGAGTGAACCGTCTTGATATTCCGAAAGAAATCCTGTGCTACTATGGGTAGTTAAGGTTCCTGATCATGGCTGAGATTTGAGACTCTCGTGCCGCCAGGGAGTGCAACTAATTCACTCAAAACCACATTTCTTGACTTTCTTTCCATCCTTTCTGAACAGCAAGTGACATTAAAAATTGCCCTGTGTTTCCGTTCGGAAAACACTGAGCATCCGGATGGTTTTTCAAGCTCCCCTGTGATACTGATTGATTATCTGGCTCGGTTGTCACTGTTTTCGCCGGATAGGTTTAAGCTGATGTAGGTCGATATTTTGGAAGGAGAGACGAGAGTGGTTTTATAGGATGGGTCAAAGTCTATCCGGATAGTTAAGGTATTATTGATAAAATTCGTCTGGTCCTCCAACGCATTATTCAACGTTTCTCCTCATATGCGAAGACGGGCAATTTGTAGACGCATTGAACAGGACGGCGGTTTATTTGTACTTCTAGGGTTAGTGGAAATTCGTTGTTTTAGGTTGGTCCGTATGTTACAACGCTATGATTCTCCATTTGACTGTCTTGTTGCAGAAACATAACAGGTAGCTAAATTTGAGCTATTCGGTAGCCATGGGATAAATACCAGTCATAAAATAAACTGCGTAGCACGAGGTCCGCAGTTTAATTCTAGCATGCAGTCATACACCACATAAAACCTAGATTGTGAATCTTTGGCTTCCTACATTTCTGCCAATTGCAAACTTGCTGAATAATTCCCCCGTATAACTATTTCTATGGTAGATATTTTCTGCATGGGGTTGAAGTAGTAACCAAGGTCGAAATACTCCGCGGTAAGACAGATATTGTCTTTCGGAATGAATATGAAAGGAGTGGAGCTCAAACCAAGTACGACTGAGCACCCAGTTTCCTGGGAAATCCGAAATGTCTTAAGAAAACCAGAGAATACCCGCATTGTACGGATATAAGTCGATTTACACCAGCAAATGAACACCAAATGAAACATATCGAGAACTCACATGCTTCAGTAACTTGTGGAAGTGTGACCAAAATAGTGGGAAGTATAAGTAAAATCTTATGGACAAAGCATGACATTTTCCTTTCTGGGTAATTTTGAAAAATTGTTGATTACATTCTTACAGGCGATGCTGCACTAAAACTACCAAGGTCAGATCGTAGTTTTCAATATCAGGAAAAGCTAAATGGATAGAGGAAGCGTGCTTACTGCACGTCTGTACACGGTAGAAAAAGATAATAAAGCCAGCTTTCAGCGACAGCGTATAGTGTGAATTTCTAACTAGGATAATTATTCCGGGTTTTTAACTATTCAACGCGTCTTATGTTCAAGGATTCACGGATTCACGTGTTCACGATTTAATACATAAGTTCGAGGCTTTCGCCCAAGTTCCCAGGTTGGTTTTCCTCTTGTGGTTCATGAAATGTCGGCCGCCTGAAAGACACAAGTGGAAAATGGTGTAGCACTGCCCTTCAAGCTCTCAGTTTGGTGCAGGTTTCTTGCTAGCTCAATAACCGCATAAATAAGTGTCCAATAGTGCTTTCATTTGGGCTCTAGAAGGAGCATGAACAACCGTCGGAGAGAGGGTATTCCACGCAGCTACCACTGAAATGAGGAAAAAAATCCCTAATGAAAGTCTGCACTCTGGGCATGAAAATCTTCTTACCATGTCCCCGACGTGTTTGCTGGGTCAACGGCTAAAAACCTGTTAGCCAGGCTTTATTCAAACGGGGCAAAGTAGGTAACAGGTCTCCTCGGTGGCAGCGATACTCCAGGAGAAATAGGTCAAGCACCACGAGATGCGTTTCATAGTGCAGGTATTTCAGGCCGACAACCATTTTTGTTGCATCTCGTCGGACACGCCCAATGAGGGTTGCGTCCTTCTTGCATCCTACGTAGAAAAATTGGGCCACATATTCAAGAAGCGGTGTGGCGTAGGCTTCATAGAGTATTTGGAGGTCCATGCGAGTAATACGGCAGAAAGTGCGCCGAATCACCCCTAAAACGGTGAACGCTTTTTTGGCCAATTTCTCATGGTGCAGCTAGAAGGAATATTTGAAGAATACTTGAAGGAATGTTTGGCATCTGCGCTTGTGATGCCTTCTGGTCTTTTTTCTCATGCATGGCAAAAGCATTCGCTGAGTCTCCTCCAAATGACCTATGGACGCACTTTTCTTTATTCAGAGGGAGGTGGAAATCCAACGACCACTGCCTTGAAGTGCACAATTCCGGTTAGTGGGCACTGTCATTGGAACTCAAGGATTTCA